TCAAGGATCGTAAATAAGTGCCATTAAGAACAACTTTGCTAACTTGATCTAATAGTAATAAAAGCAGAAATCGAAAAACAATAAAGACTCGCCGAAACGATTGCGCCCTAGAGCCTAAATATAATCTCTCGTTTGATAGGCTCCGTTGATGATGGAATGTTCGTTACAGAGAATCGATCCAAGGGTAGAAGAAAATAAAAAATTCAAGGATCGTAAATAAGTGCCATTAAGAACAACTTTGCTAACTTGATCTAATAGTAATAAAAGCAGAAATCGAAAAAAAAGAAAGTCTCGTCGAGACGATTGCGCCCTAGAGTCTAAATATAATCTCTCGTTTGATAGTCTCCGTTGATGATGGAATTTTCGTTAAAGAGAATCGATCCAAGGGTAGAAGAAAATAAAAAATTCAAGGATCGTAAATAATTGCCATTTAGAACAACTTTGCTAACTTGATGTAATACTAATAAAAGCAGAAATCGAAGAACAATAAAGTCTCGTCGAAACGAGGAACCAATCGTGATAGATCGATTGCGCCCTAGAGTCTAAATATAATCTCTCGTTTGATAGTCTCCGTTGATGATGGAATTTTCGTTAAAGAGAATCGATCCAAGGGTAGAAGAAAATAAAAAATTCAAGGATCGTAAATAATTGCCATTTAGAACAACTTTGCTAACTTGATGTAATACTAATAAAAGCAGAAATCGAAGAACAATAAAGTCTCGTCGAAACGAGGAACCAATCGTGATAGATCGATTGCGCCCTAGAGTCTAAATATAATCCTCCGATTGATACAGTCTCCGTTGATGATGAAATTAGCGAAGATGGTTGCGTTAAGGGGAATTTGTCCAAGGGTGGAAGAAAAAAGGAGAGATTCGCGGCAAATGGACGGTATAATCGAAACGTGGAAGGGCGTGACCGGACGTCGATCGGCTTTGACATCGCTTTGTCGTCTCTCGGCCCGTTTCCATCCCCCCATGCGGCCCTCCTCCTCCTTCCTCTCCCTTTTTCCCTCTACAATCGAGGGATCAGCGAGCGAACGAGCGAACGAACGAGCGAGCGAGCGCGAGGTTAACGACTTGGTCCGTTGCTTCTTCTTTTCCATCGTTCCACGGGACTGCTCGTTACCGCGTTAGATAATGCATGCAAATTGCATTAAGCCAACGTGACTACCGGTTCTCGGTTCAACATCCAACCTCTGTCTTTTTCTCCCTCCCCTCCCCCTTCCCCACCGTGCGCGCTAGTCAACGACCTGTCCATGTAAAGATAGACGAATCGCCGGCGCAAGTTTACCGTTGCAGTTTCCAGCTCAATCTATTAAGCCGGCTGTCAACCGGGCCTCCCTCGTATTATGGATGTCCGTGACTCGACCAGTGAATCACTCGAGACGTTTAGAAACATCGAAGACCTCGCAGTCTCCGAGCCTTCTTCTCCCTTTGAAGCCTCCTCGTTCGTTCGTTCGTTCGTTCGTTCGTTCGTTCGTGGAGGTCGCGAGGAGAGGCTTTACTGGTTGTACAGTAACACTCATACGCGCACTCGGTTTCGTCGAAACTTGGTCCTCTTGTTGGTCGCAGACGGTTCGGTGCGGCTTCTTCTTTGCTCGGTCGCGTCGCGGGCCGACGTCGTCGTGAAAGAACCGGCGGCGAGCAATGGACTGTGCCCCCGTCTCTCCACAGGGTTTAATTACTCCGACAGAGGCAGAGGGAT